TATAATAGAAGTAGCAGAGACAAAAAGGTGGCACTTCGCTCCTCGTCACTTTTTGTTCTCCATTGTTCCAATGCCCACTGTTCGCCCAAGTCTCTTCTTACCGTAAGCAACTCCCGAAAGAAGAAAAGAGAGGAAGAGGCAGCCAGGATGCTTCCTGCTGTAGCCATTCCGGCAATAGTTCTAGCAGGGCAGAACTTCGTCCTCGACATACTCGCCGGGTATGTCGTGTTGCAGATGCCCTGCTGGATTCCTCCGTTTTACATCTTCATCGCGCATCGTACTGCGCAGACCATCCTGGCCATCGCGGCCGTCATTCTTTTGTTCCTCTTGCAGAATACCGATCATGGTATTACTGTACCTCGCGTGGCCATACAGTTCGAAGGGGCCGTAGAGGTGAGTCTCTACCTTCCCGGATACCCCCACCTAGCTCTTCTTAAGTGTTGTGACGACAGCTGCTGTACTTATATCAATCAATTCGATACGGTCTCCGTTCATCCAGTCGGGTATTGCGCTGCGAACCTATCATGTTTGCTATCTGGATTGTTCCCAAGGTCGCGCCCTTTGGCTTGACATCCGTCGTGTAAGTCGAAAGCCCTTACGGAAGCATTCACTGTCTTCTCAGATCCGTTACTAACCTGTCAAATGATCATTTACAGACCATGGCGATGGCAGCCATTCCTCTTTGCCGGTCCATACATGGTTGATCAGGTTCTCCAGATCGCCATGTGTGTCATGTTTTGTCAACGGATCTTCGTGGAAAGAAAGGGGAGCCTCCTTCAGAGCACAGAGCTTTGCCACTGGCATTACGCGTGGGGCTTGTCAAGAGCAGTTTTCCATATCATTGCTTCGGGCACTGTCGTGACCGCGTCGGCCCGATGGCCACATTGTCAACTGTTGTTCTTCCTGGTACGTACCTCACACTGGAATGCTTCGGCCCGTGTTTGCGAGCTCCGGACTAATGGCATTTTCCAGGTGCTGACCAATGTGATCCTCTTCTCTCCAACGCCGCGGGCTTTCATCAGATATGCCCGAGCTCGCCGGTGCGTTTCAAGTACCAATCGGACACAGAGAGCAAGGCCTCGCATTCAACACCACCCAACGGCCTTTACTGGGGTAGTGAGAACCCGTGAAAGAGGTTCGGTTGAGCACCTTGTCTCGGTGTCAGAACTCATGCAACAACGACAGCAATCCTTTGCATCAGCTGTCCCATGGTCAGAGGTCCGGGAGATTGACGGCTACCTGTTCCACGTCAGTCGAAGAACTGGACGACACTACTTTGCACTGGACACCGACGATGATATCTGGTCCCTTCAGGCCATCCGTCGACGTATTCCTTGGGCAGGGACCTACCCAAGGGGCAAGTGCACGACCGAGGAGTTTCTTCTTCTCGCTCCAGGTTATTCTGAAAATCATCCATATCTCCGGGGGACACCCTCATTGTACGATGTTTTCCGCGACATTCACCAGAAGGAACTTCAGTATACTCTTACCAACTATCCCGCTCACCGAGTTGGTTGTCAAAAATGCCCAACGGGAACGTGCCGTGAATTGTGGTGTATGATGTTTAGCTTGCTGTTGGACACGGTCAACTCACATCTCATGCTGCGTTATAGTATCGTGGATGCTATAACTCGATCACATATCCATGACACGGAGAATCGGCTGCTCTTGGTTCGAGTTGAACCTACCATAACTTCGACAGTGCGGCTACATTTTGTCGGTCACAACGATAGGGCACTCATTGAGACACCGTGGCAAGACTTATACACCATCAATACCAGGGGACTCTGCATGGGCGTATCTCCCGACGTAGCAAGCATGATTCCTGGATGGACCGAGGTTGGCTCTCTCAGGTAGGCGCTCAAAGTTGGGAAGATAGGCAGTCGAAGGCTGGCAGATAGTATGATTGTGTAGCAAAAGGGACATTGGCAGGGGTCCAAGAAGCAGAGATCGTCCTGTGGATGGAAGACTGATTGGGTCTGTGCGTGCGCTCAAAGACCGACAGACAAGGGTAGAAGATAGTGTCATGAGATCATGAAGGGTAAACAGCCAATGTTGGGCGTTTTAAGATGCGGCACTCGAGAATGCATGTAACAACCCACTCGGGGGGGAAAGCAATGGCAGACAGGATAGCCATGGGTAAGGAGTAGGCACTGTAAAATAATGCACGCGAGGGTCGCCAGCCAACGGTAAGGCAATCAAGGCCGCAGGTAAAAGTAATCAGGCTCTCGGACGCCCCGTATGTCTGATACATCCGTCAAAGAGCGGTGTTGTCACCCCCCCAGGGGTAGCATGATGTGGCGGCATGAGGCGAGGGAAAATGTCTGGAGTAGTCCGTAGCTGCAGATCTTGAATCAGGTTGTGCCTTGAGTGGTGGCTTTGAGTGAGGCTGGCAACGTGTCTGCCTTGGACTTCAACCCTGGCTCTCCTTTGGCATGCTCCCGGGTGCTTGCTTTTTGAGCCACTCACTAGCTTTGCCCATCTCGCCAGGGCCAGGGCCGTCAATCACTGTACGAGTGCCAGTAGCCTGGTGGCCACGCTAGCCGCCTGCATGCAAAGATCTGGTACTCCTCCAAAGTACTGAGTAGGAGATGATGCATCACATGGATGGGGCCAAGTCAGTCGCCGGAGCACGATACCCTGTAGCACTAGAAAGTCCGAAGACTAGTGGCAGATGCAACCGACGTTGGCTGCCAGTTGCCCCATGTCGAAACTCCATCAGTTGACTTGCCCCGGCATCCAGGAATTGTAGACTTGCCTCAATAAGACCAAGGTCGTCCTCTGGACTTGGGTATGCTTCCTGAGTCAAATTGAGAAGCCCCGTCGTGCAGCCAGGGCCTGAAGGTTGTCAAAGCTGGTTCTTCTCTGAGAGCACCAGGAAAAATAAGGGTTGAACCTCGCGCATGAGAATGTGGCAGCGTCCTGCACCTGGTATAGGCTTAAAGGAGACTCGAAGTGTGCCGGTCAATCAATCGACGGCCATACGATCCCTTCTCTTGGTGGCTGTACTTTCCTACTTAACCTCGTATCCATCCGCTTCTCTCCTCTCGACCTTCTGCTTCTCTTTATATTCTCCCTCTCTTCACCATCGTCTCCTCTGCTCCACTTCCCATTCAAGACCAGAAGTTCCGTTGCTCCCTTGACCCAAATGGCTTCTCCATCCTTCTATACTTCTACATACACTTCCATCACCGGCAGCTACGGCCTCTCTTCTCATCCGGTCAATCCAGGTATGGCCCAAGGCTCACGAACACAGAACTCTCGCGTGACTATAGAGAGAGGTGAGCCGTCAACTCCTCCAACCTCACCCGTAACCGCCTTAGCCGTCGAAGACGAGGATGACAACGTCGACCATGCAAACGATGACCAAGACACACAAGAGTATAGGACCCCAGCCACACACATGACTGCTGGCGAAGACACCAAGTCCATTGAGGCCACGGAGATGACCTACTCACCTGTCCTCGACTATGCCCACAGGACTCCCAACCGCCCTAGCGAGCGTCGCCAGTTCACCTTGGGTCGTTGTTGCGTTTGTGATGCGGCAGGGACGATCATGACTTGGCCACAGTGCCGGACATGCCATCACAACAGGTGCGAGTGGTGTGGGTACGGCGGGGATCGAGCCGACGACACGGGAGAGGCCATGTCGACAAGGGAAAGGATCACCCGGTTGAATGAGCTGTCTGGGGAGCTAGGGCTGGAGCTGGAAGCCCTCGCTTATGAGGATGCCTTGCAATCTCGCCAATGGCTGCTTGGTGCGCTTTGGTCTTCGGTGATCCAGCTCAACAGGCTCCTCACCGACCTGGAGAGGCGCCTGCGCCAGTTGTCTGGGGGGAGAGAGACCTCCTATTCGGCAAGTGTTGAAGATGAGGAGTCCGATGGCGAGGGCGTCGAGGGCAGCGAGGAGGGTGAGGAAGTTGAGGCATGGGATGAGAGCGGGCGGTCGATGAGGGTGACCCGGGTGTTGTGAGGGACGACGACGACGACAACAACAGCAGCAGCCACGGCGTCGTCGAGACGCTCGAGGAGGCCGGGAGGGAGCGGTGACAACATGGATTCTTCTCGTACACATTTTCGGGTCATCTAAATAGTCATCAAAATCAAAAGAACCGTCATCACCTTGACCCCTTCTCAGAAGTCCTGCCTTTTGTATGAAGTCGAGAGCAAACAGAGTCGAGACCTGTGAACAAAAAAAGGTTGATGGACTCTGGAATGATTGAGTGAGATACGGTACCACTCAAAAACCTTTCTCCTTTCATCAATCTGTAGTTGTTGTAACCTGGCCTGAATTTTTGCCAGCCATGCCAAAACTGCGCCTAGAGTCATAGAGAGGGGGGACGTTGCTGAATAGCAATCTGCATCAAGGTCAAGTCTTTGCTCTCTAGCTGCCTTCGATACCTAAGGAACCTTACCTAGGTATCTAGGTGCCTGACGGACCTGACCGTAGGGGCAACGTATCTCACCCTAGGTACCTACCTTGACCCATCTTAGGTATATCTCTAAGGGCATCTCGAAGTCTTTTTCCCTAGGAAAATCTGAAGCTGGCCACTACTTAAGTTATCATTGCGGGGCATCGCCTATTGACTCTCCACCATCCCCTGTAGAGCCTCTAATCAGCACCTACTCCGTAGGCACCTTACTACAATATTATCTAAGCGGTGATCAAAGACGCGTCTCTTCGCGTTCTCCATCTAAATAATTAAGGCGCGTCCGCGTTTTGACCAAGTTCGCAGTACGAGTCTCCGTACTCTGTACCATACGATAGACACACCAGCAAAACACTGAGCATCATTGTGATGTCTATAACAAATGATACTCATGTCTAGGTCAACGGTCTCGAAGAACCCTGTACAATCCTTCCTTCCTCTCCTAGGTTCCCCATCATTGAAAACCTGGTCCACGAACTGCACGAATACAATGCCAAAACACCCATAACGCACAATACCCAGAACAGTCTACCTTTGTCGTCCACAGACTCACCGCCCTCCTCTGACGATATGGTCTTCTCCTCATCTCCAGTGCTGTACCCACCCAGCTCGTCACCTCCAGCGCAGCCACCTGCGAAGAAGAAGCGCAGGCTCTTCCAGCCGTTTCCCACCGATCCACAGAGAAAGAGGCCAAAGGTTGTGGGTGGGTTCCTCGAAGACACCGATGCTGAAGAAGACCAAGAGGTGTCAACGAGAAAAGACACAGAGACAATTGAAACTCCGAGCATTGAAGAGCCCACACTATCAACGTTCCCGATCGAAAAGCCTGTGGAAGTAACAGACGCAGCAATCCACCATGCGCGCGAAGATTCGTCTACTATGCCTAGGCTTCCCCCGTTACCACGGCCTTTGCTACGAAGGTTACCAGCAAAGACACTCAATCTCCGAACAGCTTCTGGGGCGGTCCTGGATATTCCCCTTAGACAAAAGACTCAGGCGGTATCATACGAGCGAACGATCGCCGAGCGCTCAGCACATGTTCCTGGCCGGTCACATAGATCGTACTATGGCATTGAGATCCATAAGCTCGTGGACGACGCGAGAACACAGCGACAGTTGGACGAATATGAACAGAAGAGGCAGGCGGAACAAGCAGCCACAAAGCCTTCAATCCAAAGTCCTGCCTCAGGGAATCGAATTGATCCAGTCGCCCATCAGATGTGGACCGAGAAGTACCGTGCCAAAAAGTTTACAGACCTTGTGGGTGACGAAAGAACCCACAGAGCTGTGCTTCGTTGGCTCAAAACCTGGGATGATTTAGTCTTTCCAGGACACAGCAGACCAAAACCAACCAAAATCTATGAGGACAGAGATGTCGTTGAACAACAGCATCGAAAAGTGCTGTTACTGACTGGTCCTCCTGGGTTAGGAAAGACCACATTAGCACACGTTTGTGCTAAACAGGCCGGTTACGAAGTTCTCGAGATCAATGCAAGTGACGATCGCAGTCGGGACATAGTCAAGGGAAGGATCAAGGATATTCTTGGTACAGAAACAGTCCGTGGCATCAAAGAGCAAGGGAAAGCTCGCAAAGCTGGTCGGCCTGTCTGCGTTGTCGTTGATGAAGTCGATGGTGTCACAACCGGCTCCAGCTCTAACGGGGGGGAGGGTGGTTTTGTCAAAGCACTGATTGATCTTGTTCAGCTTGACCAACGAAACGCAAGTCAGAACGGAAACCAGACGAACCCTGTGGGGAAGAAAAGAAAAGGCGACAAGTTCAGAATGTTGCGACCCTTGATCCTGGTCTGCAACGATGTCTATGCCCCTTCCCTTCGACCCCTTCGAACAAGCTCGATCGCCGAGATCGTCCACGTCAGGAAAGCTCCAATTGACAAGGTCATAACGAGGTTGAAGACGGTCTTCGAGAAAGAGAGCATCGCGTGCGAAAACGACGCTGTCCGCCGTTTGTGTGAGAATGCCTGGGGCTTAGCAATGCGGAAACAAAGAGGCATTGGTACTCGAGGTTCGGGCGAGGGTGACATCCGGGGTGTATTGGTCCAGGCTGAGTGGATTGCCCACAAGCTGCGTGCCAACGGGTCGAAAACCAGGCTCACCAGGAAGTGGTTGGAGCCGCAGCTCGAGAATGCCCAAGCCGGGCAGAAAGGCCTTGGGCGTGGTGGTGTGCGAGAAATCGTCGAGAGAGTCTTCATCGAAGGGGCTGGGCTTTCGGACCTGCCTGCCAGCCTTTCTACAGACGACAAGAGGCTCGTGGCCGAGTCTAAAACCAACGCTGTAGGAGTCGCAGACCTTCGCAAGCGTGCTGCCATCACTGCTTTGCGGGAAATGGTCGATACTTCGGGAGACCACGATCGTGTCATGTCCGAGTGCTTTGCGACATACCCGAATCAAGTATACCAAGATGATGTTCAGCTGAGCAAACCCAACGCGAGTTATGACTGGCTACATTTCCACGACTGTTTGTCAAGTCGAATATTTTCCGGTCAAGAATGGGAGTTGACACCTTACCTGAGTACCAGTGCTTGTGGGTTTCACCATCTGTTTGCGACAGTCGACAAAGGTCCCAAAGCCTGGAACGATGACAAGCCCGACGAAGAGCCTGCGGACTTACATCCCTTCAGTGGTGCCAAAGCCGACTTTGCTGCCTATGAGGCGGAGAAGCAAAACCGCACCCTGTTGACAGAGCTTCAGTCGAGCTTCTCTGGGTCCTTGTTGCGTCTCTTCAGTTCCATAGACACCATTGCAGCTGAACTGATCCCGAACGTGGGCAAAATGCTCGCACCTGACGTCAAGCCCGTCGTGATAGGTGGCTCAGGCGGCTCGGCCAGTGTCGCAAGTGTGAGGAAGGATACCGAAAAGACGTGTATCAAGAACGCCACCCGGACAATGATGGCACTTGGATTGTCTTTCGAAAAGGTCCGAGTTGAAATCGAAGGAGGTGGCGCCCATTCCAATGGTGGTTACGCATACAGAATGGAGCCGTAAGTCACGTTTGATCGACTGATATATTCATATTTTTGCTAATTTTCATATTCTCAGACCACTTGATACGCTCCTCACCTACCACCTCGACGGAAAGGTTGCTCCTGTCCGCTACGCCATCAGACAAGTGCTCGATCAGGAACTCGCCAAAGAAAAATTACTGCAGAATTCTGTCGCAAGACAGGCTCGAGCCGGAGCGTCATATCTTGACGACGATGGTGTTGACAAGGAGAACATGCCGACTGTGGAAAAGGTGGGAGAGACGATGAACACCAAGACTACTGGGGCGAAGCGTGATTTCTTTGGTCGTGTCATACTCGAAAGCGTCAATGCCAATGAAACTCGGCCAAAGTCTTCAGGAAAAGGTGTCTCCGGACTAGGCGACAAGACTTTGACCACGACAACGGAAGAAGGGCGAATCTGGGTGTCGTTTCACGAGGGCTTCTCGAATGCTGTTCGAAAACCCATTACACTCAAAGAGTTTCTTGATGGATTTTGAGATGGATTCTAGAAGAATTGAATGAGAGAATTCTTGAAAACATGCCTCCGAGGATTCGTGTGCCTGCTTAGGGAGGTAGTAGGAATGAATGTATGAATGAGAGGATGAGAGAAGTGATGAGAAAATGCAACTCGAGGATGAGACGAGAAACTGAAGAACAGCCCAAGATTGTTCTTTTCAGAAGCATCATCTAGTAGAGAATGGAGGTAATTTGCCGTTGGAAAAGTACATACTTGTCGTCGTCATCGTCATCGTCGTCGTCGTCGTCGTAAAGAATGCCATGTTACTACTATTTTTTTTAATCGAGTGAAAAACAGAGAGATTACCCTGGGTAGAGTGCACTACTAGATATTGAGAGGACTTACTTATAGTTTTGTCGTCGGAGCTCGTTTTGCCCAGTTGTAAGGAAAAAGCATTTCGGGTTTCCCACGAGCAATCAAGTCCCGCAAGTATCAATGACGATAATGATGAATGATACGGAGTACCTTGAGGAGTTCTTTGAATACAAAAGTCGTACTGTTTTGTTTTGACTCGACTCAATCTCGCGAGTACACAGTACAGAATAAGGGGAGTGGTAGATCCTACTACACAACCTCTCTCCTACCACAGCACCAGCACCAGCCACAGCACATATTACCGCCATTGCCGGCTTGCTTGGACTCCGTACCGGACACTTTTGTCGCCAACACCGGGATACCGAAGTATGCAGTATGGCAGGGGTCGGGATGGTTTTCTCTATTTGCATTCCGAACTCGGTATCAACAAGCACCAAATCAAACGAATCGGGAGGGTTTCCATCGACCGAGTACCAATCACTCCTCCCGCACCACCCTCCCCCCAGACAGGTACCCAAAAAGTATACATAGCCCCCCCCGGCGACGCTTGTGTTACTCCGTAGGTATGAGAAACCGAGTGCGGGACGAGAATACAAAAAGCAGAAAAAAGAGAGAACCGATCTCTTCGGCGCACAAGATCAAAAGACTGCAGGGATTCTTCTCTTATTTTCTTCTCCTCTCTTCCATCCTAAGTTGATAGTGGTCAAGCTCGAAGGGTGCAAAAGTACCAAAAAAAAGATGTCTTTGCTTTTACAAGCCCTTTCCCAGAAAAACATTCGGATCATCGACCTGGCGGTGCCGATGCAATCCGGCATGGCTCACTCGGCGGCCAGCGTGCCCTTCAGCATGGCGCTGAGCCGACGACACGGCGACCACGACCGGACGGGACAGGGAGGGACGGCGGCCAACGCGGTCATCATCACGGGGGACCACGTGGGGACCCACGTCGACGCCCTCTGCCACGTGGCCAGCAAGGGGGTCCTGTGCGGCGGGGTGGCCGTGGCCGACGCGTGCGTGGGCGGCAAGTTTGTCAAGCTGGGCGCGGAGACCATCGCGCCCATGGTCTGCCGGGGGGTCCTCTTGGACATTCCGGCCCTGAAGGGCGTCGACAGGCTCGAGGCGGGTTACGGCGTGACGGACCGGGACCTCGTGGAGGCGTTGGGCGACACGCCCTTGAACGAGGGGGACGTCGTGCTCGTGCGCACCGGTTGGATCCAGTTGTACGGCGACGAGGTCGCGTTCCTGGGCGACGGGACGGGCGTGCCGGGCGTGGACGCCAGTGGAGGTCGGTGGTTGGCGAACCACGGAGTGAGGGCCGCGGGCGGTGACACCATCGCCTTTGAGCAGGTCGCCTTGGGCCCCAAGGGCCGGCAGAGGCCGTGTCACGGCATCCTGCTGTGGGAGAATGCCATCCACATCATCGAGGTCCTGGATCTCGAGGAGTTGGCGAGACAAAGGGTCAAGGAGTTCATGTTCGTCTTGTCGCCCTTGAAATTGGTCGGTGCCACTGGATCGCCCGTTAGACCTTTGGCTGTCATCGAGGGGTGAAAACGGTCGGTCAACCGGACCAAACCAACCGACACCACCGGAACTCGACACAGCCTAAAGTGGCGGTGAGAGTATGATGTTGCGAGACATACATTGGCTGAACATGCTCTCTGCTGTCGGTAGATTCATGCTTGCCGTTGTGACTTTCATCATGTGTGAAGCGAGAGGTGCCGAAATGCTGCACAAGATATGTGATGATTGTGTGAGACACGTACTTTTTTTTTGTATGTGAACGTAGGAGGCGTTGATACAGTGTCAGATAGCTTTGCCAGGACAGACCACATCATCACCAGCATCATCCCAACATGCCGAGAAAGTTCCAGTCAAAACCTTCCAGATCGATCGTCTGGTCGTCGGGCAATTCGTTTGGTAAAATACCGTACTTGTGCTCCGACCATATCCGCAGCAAATCGTACACGACCGACGCACCCATCCTCGTGTAGATCTGGGGTGAGATTTTCTTGTCCTCGATGTACAGGAGTTTCTGGATCGTCTCGGAGGCCTTGCGGTGGATGTCGTCGGGGGAGGTGACTGTACTTTTCAGAGCCTGCCGCGCGCGGTCGATGCTGTCTTGGAGGACCTCCGACTCGGCGCTGTAGCCGGACCGCAGGAGCTTGACCAACACCAAGGCGCTGTAGCACATGGCGTGACGCACGCACGCCGGGACGATGGAGAGATTCTGGCTGTAACAAAGCTCGATGAGGTCGCAGGCGTCTTGCCTCGCGCTCTCGACGAGGCTCAACATCTCGGGGGACACGAGCATGTCGTCCAGCAGGATGAAGCTCCACAGTTGGAGACGCGAGGTCAGGAAGGCCGTCCTCACGACGTTGTCCATGTCCTCTAGGTGCTGCGCCTGCAAGGTGGAGAAGTGCTCCCCCCAGACCTTGACCATGTTCAATCGCGTTTCGGGTTCGAGCATGCCCGACGGAGTCGACCCGTTGGTGCCGATCGCCAGGTTCGCCTGCATGGACATGTGGTAGACACGGCACAGTTGGGAAAGCCTCACGCCGACGACTTTGCTCTCGAACGCGTTCAGGAGGTGGATGTCGACGATGATCGACGGCGGTACACCACAGATGGCGGACAACTTTTGGTTGACGACGAAGCAGGAGAGCCACGTGGTGGTCTTGACTTCTTCGTCTACGTTCAGGGCACTCTCACTCTCCAACGACCCGTGGGCGTGGATGTGAGTCTGGGTCGGACGGTGAAGGCCGAGCTGTAGAGCCATCTGTGTCGCGATACAACCGTAGTAGTGTGATGCGTCCTCGTTGACGGAAGAGACCGAGAAGGGCCACATGGCCATGATCAGCAACGCTTGAACCTTCTCGACGTACACGGGCCGCGAGTGAAGCGTCTCTGCCAGCATCGCCTTGACCGCGGGTGCGAGCTGCGACCGAAGCTTCCAGCTGGCCGCCGTGGTACAGATGACCCAAAACAGCAGGCTGCATTTGGAGTAGACGGCCTCGGCGGAGCGCGTCGTCATTTTGAACGGCAGGTACTGATGGCACCGAGCGAAGTACGTTCTGAAGTGCTCGTTGACTTGGCCATAGGTGAGGGCCACCCCCGTGTTGGTGCGGTACGCGGCGGTTGGCCCACCCAAGGCCATGGAGCCAGGCTGCGACAACACCAGTGGATTCAGAGGGCCTTCGCCGTTCGGTTCCGCGAGGCTAGGTAGCTGTGAGGTCCAATTCGGCGAGACAAGGACGTCGCTACTGTGTTCATGTGACTGGTTCGAAGACCCGTTGCTCGGGGTTGCCTCGCGGAGAGCTTGCTGTAACTCTTGGATCTTGGAGGACATCATCTGAATAGACCTCGCCTTGGATGTGCGTTTGAAAGAGGCGTCGAACACACATGGTAGCTTGAGCGCCTTGCAGCGTGTACATCCTTCCGAGGCATCTCCGCCGTATTCGCACCTGTTCGCGGAAGTAATGAGTACCACCGAAAAACATGCATGCTTCAGGGAACAGACTGGGGCCCTACCTGGCTTTCCACTGGCGGCACTTGGTGCATGCTTTAGCCTTCATGGCGACAAGGCTGGCGGTGGTAACGATGTGCGTTTGATTGACAGAGAGCGATGCTGAGTAGATTTGCGAGACTCGGCGCCGGTGTTGCAGTCTACGAGATAAGTCATCTATTATGGCAGCTCGCTATGAGACGAGTGGGAGAGAGCAACTCGTGGTCGTGGAAGGGGAGGGTCATTTCAGCCTTGCAGGTTTTGCGGAGTTGGCTGCGAAAATCTCAGATGGTCCGAGTATTAGTACCTGTACATTCGGTCGTCGTAAGCCATCCAGGCGCAGACTTCTGCCCAGACGAGGGAGAAGGAGGCCTCAGACCACAGAAGGTGACAATAGCTCGAGTCGACAGAGGGAGTTGTTGGTTGTACAGTCAGCATATTGCGGAATCGCAATGCCAAGAGTCCAGGCTTCCCGTTCTCGGTCTCGATGGGACTGAAGAAGTACCACAGGTCATGGCCCATGTTTGCCTCGGATCCTCGGACGAGTTGACAATGCTCTTCTGGGATTGTGGCGGGCATTATCGACTCGATGTAGTCCTCCGGCGCGTGGCTGAACTCGGTCTCGAAGGGGACTTGCCCATGAGACCAAGATGGAAGGCCTACAACAACACGTCTCTATGTTTGTATGGAGTAGAACCGCCTCTGCTTGTGTCAGGAGAAGCGGGGCTTGACTGTTTCGGCCAAGTCATTCAGGGAGAAGCTTCACTTACATTGATCAGTCTAATGGCCTTAGAGATCACGATGTAAGCCGCCATTCTTGGAATATGCTCCGGGACCGTCAGAGACTCGATGATTCAGGCCCCCTGCTCATCACTAGGCCGGAGATACACGACGCCGAATCTTGTCGTATGAATATATATGGGCTAATGGGAGATCTTGAAACTGCGACAATAGTCATGAATTCGTCACTGACACTGAATAGCTAAGGTATCATTGACGTCTTGACGAAGATGTCGTTGATGTTTTCTGACAAGTCGACGTTGCACAAGGAACAAGGCCACAAAATACTTCATACAGAGTAACTCGAAACCATTCCCACAAGGCCCTCAATATGACAGGTGGTGTGGTACAGAAATGCTGGGTCCACCCATAAACATACCATGTGAGAGAAGAGAGAAGCCACCAGCATGCGTGTCGCGTTGAAACAGAGGCGGTCCATGCTCATCGCCTGCACCTGAGGGGTGTAGCCAACACCAATGGAACCAACAAGCCCATCCACCGCAGTATCAAGACATTCTAGCTCAGAGTTCGAATTTTGTGGCCTCGCCCGTTGCTCCGACGATCGTGTTGCAATAGCGGGTTTTTCCATGGCTTATTGTACATACATAGTTGTCAAATTGGGCACCCATGCCAGCTACGTCTTTCAATTAGTGATTTTGGTATTCCTAGGTGAGATTTGCTTTCATACCGAGATCAATCTCGATAATTCCCTTGGCTTTGTTTGCGGCGTGATCAAAGTCAAGCTTGGCCAACATTTTTGCTTGGGACGTTCCCGCTAGATTATACAGGAAAGAAAGAGGTACGACTCTGTTTGAGGCAGCCGAGCGCTTGGTTGTCTGGGTTGGGATGGTTTGTTTTTTGGTTGGTGCCATGGCGACTCTAATTGTGATCGGAGTTAGCAGATAAGGGAGCAGGGTATTCCTAACCAAAATCATGTCTCTTTGCTTGAGCAATTGCAAGGAACAAAAGGGCAGTTGGATTTATGTGTGTGAGGGATAGGGTGGGAGGGTACATCCGATGAGACACCGTCAAGATCATAGTTGAGGGCAGCTTTCCATTCAACAAGGCGCTATGCACTCTTTCCCTCATCTGCCAACGGACTCGAATCGCAGTTTCTCCATGAACTGAGATCGCAGAGTGGATCTTTATTGACGGCAGGACATGGCAGTAGCATAAGAAAGTCCAGCTTGTCACAAGTCAAGGCTCACCGGGCTTACTTAATGTTGCTAGGACAGAATGCTGAAACCACAGTAAGAACGATGATGCCCGTGCTAACATGGCTCCTGGTGAACATTGTCGATGGAGGGCCGGGGCGGCAGGAGCACTTCCTGCTCCATTCCAGCATGGATAAGAAGTCGCGGTAAATGACGATGCCCGAGAGCACGTTGTGAGATGTATAACCACGGGAGACAAAAATGACTGGCCACCACAGAAAGCTTTCGGATCGGCTTTCCCTGGGCAATTCGAGAGTGTTTCGCGGCGGAATGTACAGTACACTGACGGATGGGAGTCACCACGGTTCGGAGCAGATGCAGTGCTTCGGGCGTAGTGTCGACTATCTACAAGGCATTAGCTGAGCAACAGTGTGAGTGATCTTGTGACATTGCTTGATAATGTCGTACAAAAATGATGATCACCACTTAGCAGCAAGCAGCCTGCGACGCGCTAGTCAGCGAGCACCTATACATCAGCTAGGAGAGTCTGTGCCACCTCCAGAGAATGGTCGTCATGAAGGAAGCAGCATACCGAGCATGGGAAATGTCGTTTCCATCTGTCCCACGAACACGAATGTCATGAAGCTCTTGATGTGGAGCAATCAACAACCACCGGGTTGTCAGGCGGCGGCACTCGTGGTTACAACCAGAAAGGACATTCAATGAAATGTGGCCTATTCTGTTGCATGAACTGGAAGGTCATCGCTGCCATCGATTGTGGCATAGATGGTTGGTCAGGAATTCGACGTCAGATGTGAGTATTGTCGTACAGTGTTAGGCCGGTGAAACACATCGGATACAGACTCGGGCACACGGCGGCTAGAAGGTGATGCTGATGGCGGAGACCGCTCGAGTACAGAGATAGTGATGCGAGGAGAAATGTCGCTGAATCGGTAGCATTGGATTGCAGCTCGAAGGATTTGACACCTTGATCTGGCTTTGCCTCTTTCCCATATTGTATTCAAGGCATCTTGGCTTCTTGTTTCTAGCGCAGATCGACATGATACGACCCAATATTGCCTGTCCGGTAAGCCTCGACATTATGATGCATTGTTGAAAATGGCAAAAGTCGTCAGGTGAATCAAGTGCTCAGGAATCAAAAGCCAAGCGCAGGACAGGGAAAGAAAGGCGTAGAACACTAGTCTTGAATAAGACACGGACTTCTCAAACTGCCACAGAGACTTTAACCAAGTCGCGGTATTTCGCGACGTCTGGGTCAATATGTGAGTGCTCAGTCACGGTGGTCTTCAAGCAAGCCGAGAACAACAATCTGTCAAGGGCTGGCTCAGTAAGCAAGGTCGGCAAAGGACAGTCAATCAAGAACAGCGCATCTCAGCTGCAGTGCAACCCACCATTGCCTCGGAAGTGGAGAAAGAAAGAAAAGATGTCCCGGAGGCGCGCACGCTACCCAGTCGCGGGCTAGACGTCAATCAATGACTGGACATGAAACACCTGGACTGCAATCCGAGGGCAAATGAGACTGCTTTGGAGGCTCTTGTTGTTGCGTACATGAGGAGGAACGCCGGCAAAGAGTGAATCAGTTCTTCAACCCCCATCCTCCTGCAGCTTTCCAGCAAATCCTCGTTGCAAAAGACCCCGCAATATAGACTCCTCCCCCTTGCGATTTTATGCATAATCTCTCGCTTTCGTTGTCTTTCCCCTGCTCCAAAGCGATGTCGAATGCAGCTCCAAGGCGAATCTCCCCATCACAAACATTCTTCCATTACTTGTGATGGAGACACAACGTGGGATCCGATGATTCTAAGCGGTCCACACCAAAATCGATGAGGAGCATAGTAGCTTGCATCGCCCTAAACGGTCGCTTATCCGTCGGAAGCATCGCCCGCGGTGCCCAGGTGCACGCTCTACAACTTAAATCCCAGTCTGAATCAAACTTTAACCGCAGTTTCCATCATGAGATCAAGAGTCCAAAAAGTCAACCTTGAGTGAGCGTCTGTCTTCATGACGGCGAAGAGTTTGGATGATCGCAAGAGCAAGAAAAGCCACACGCTGGACATACAATACGTATACCGACGGCACGCAGTGGTAAGAATCTCTTGTTCCGACAAAGGCTGGAAAATATCAGCTTCGGATAGCCCCCGACTGGTTCGATACACTTACCCAGAATATCGTTTTCGAGAGACAGTGTTGGCATGTGAAGGAGTTAACCCTGGCGTTGAAAGACATTCGTGATTGTATCAAGTTGAGCGAATAGGATAGAGCTCGACATTTGTCTCGTCTGTTTATTGACAACACCCAATATCAATGGATCCATCGGATCGGCTGACACTGCAAAGACCTCGAGCATGTACGAGGAGGTATTGTTACGGGACCTTCCAGCCTTTCTAGTGAGTTTGCCGTCAGCTTGCTGGCTTCCAGTTTGAGCCTGAGATGTTGGTGTGAGAGACATCTTCGAGACGCCAGCCTAGGTGCAAAGTGGTCGTCAGAGATGAATGAGATACGAAGGTGTTGATCTTTGTGCCTGGCCACAAGGCAATGGGGGCATCAAAGCCTTCAGATAAGCTGGCGACATGGCGAAGACTAAATATGTTGGGTGCAAGAAACTGGTACCACCAGGTTGACCACCATCGGTAGATCTTGTGAAATTAGCACTTCGGAGCATCAAAAGTCGGTGTACAATACAAACAGCATCGAAGCCACGTAACTCTATCATCTGAAAGTAAGGCACACCTTGGATAGGCCGGTGTTTCAAGCACACAGCGGGAAAAAGCTGATTGGGTTGCTGATTGAAGGTCGAGTTGACCATCTTCGACAGAGCTGTACTCGAGAAAATCCCATGCCAGTACTGTAACGGTGACACAAGTCCAAAGCAACTGCAAATGTGTATGCCAAAGCCAAATATAGGTCGATTGTCGATATCATGGGGATTCGAGAATGCGAGTTCCCAGTCATTGTGCCGATATGAGACTCTCATTTTGGCACAGGCCTGTGATCAGCCATGACCGCGATTCAAGGCGAAGGACTGGTTCTCCACCAAGCCGGTTAGAGGAGGGTCGGTCTCTGTTATCGCACACATATGTGATGACTTGGAAAGAGACGAGTTGTCCAGGGTCCAGGATAAATGCCGTCGCCCGAAAATGGATGTGTACCATTGTGGCTCAGAATCGCTTGGTTGCATACCCGAAACGTGCGCTTCACGACGAGCTCCCTAGTGCCATTCGATCTGCCAGGCTGGCTTCGGAGTTCAGAAAGACCCGTTGGAGGCTGAGCCCTTTCTCTAGCGTATCGACATTGCGTTGGTGTTCGACATAGACCTTGACATGCACGGCTAGTCCTGCTATGGCTGACAACCCAAGCCTGCATGTAGGGGTATCCAACACGCTGCCACTTAGGGGTCTCCTTCGGGTTGCCCAATGCATTCCGGACTGTAGAGGAGGACTTATCAAACCTCTGGCCCCAGTCCTCAACAGGCGGTGTGAGAAGCACTCTCGTTCAAGAAAGCAGTCATGATAGTGCGATGACAGCAAAGCACGGATCGAGGCAGCAATTGGACCAAGAAAAATCTGCATTCGCCAAACATGCATCGATAGACACGGCTGCCAGATCGGGCCGCAGGCATCAGCCTGCTTGGAAAGACCCAATCGTTTAGCCGAATAGTACTGTAGGGGCAACACCTCGGTCAAGGTGTAGAGGGCTAAGGAGATTTGCAGAAGACGGCTGCGAACAATGCTTGAACCGATAAACCCGGCACATCCTTGAACCATGACGAACCACAACAGCAATTGGCGTTCGGGCTAATTCTTAATGAACGAACTGGAGCCCAAGGGACGGGGGAGGCCACGCTTGTGCTAGTTTGACGGGTCTAGACAACCGCCAGGTAGACAATTGAACGGTGATACTGGAAGTATTTCGGACAAGGCTCGAGGGGCGATGGAGAGCTCTTTTTTTCATTCTCTGCGCTGGCTACCTACCTGGTAACCACACAGGAACGTCAATCTTTTCTATGTCAATGCCCAGGGCTACCGGCAGGGGGATGATTTGAACCCGCATAAGAAGTAGTCAGTTGCGAGGGGACCAGGGTTGCGGTAGCGTGACGGACTGGGCCAGAAACTAGGATTGAGGAGTGAACCCTACCGAGGTGCGCGGCTGCAGCCTCAACCGGTCAAGACAATTTACCAATGGCATACGCTTGAGTGTTCGGAAAATGGTCAAGATCGGCACCTCAACTGGCAGATGGTTGGGGCCAATGCAAACACATGCGTGGGAAGGGTGTGTGGGAGACGATAACGTGGGCCCGGCTTAGTCTTCAAGAGCCTTTGTCGGTCATTGATGTTCTCGACACTGGAATTCCGAGTAAATCGATTCAATTGTGAAGTGTCGCGACAGCCAAGTTCTCGACACGTCGACCTGCAGCATGAGGCGCTGTGGCTTGACTAGTATGCCGTCGCACCGACCGACTCGTCTTCTGTATTTCTTCTGGATTTCCCAGCCGAGGTATGATTGTTGAACTGCTTATCTTTACCCGCAAAGCTCTTGATATGTGTTGTTCATTGAGAACTAATTTGGCTGACCTTGAGTTGTGGCTGTGGAAGCCAGTCGTGAACACGTTCTTTCATCTGACCAATTTTCGTGATATGGGCAGTCATTTAGAACAACATGATTGTGCGTAATGACAGGCAATAAGGTCTCCGCGTCAACATTGGGAAATCAACTGAAAATGACTCATATAGCCGATTTTGAGAGTCCTTGGTCTAATTCAGAAGATGGTTCCGGTGTGAAGGGGTTTTATTATGGGGCATCTTGATGACATTCTTATGGGAACTCATTCAATTCGAACTCGAATGTAGACACAGAATCCTCTGGATGCCGGACCGGTGCAATTGAAAGAAGACAGGGTATTGCTGCAAGTCAGGTATGCGGTATTGACAACGCACATGTCGCTATGGCCTCAACCTGTCGTCAATAGAACGCAGCAATATTTGGCTGAGGCTTGAGCCATGTTGCGACAAGGCATCACCTAGTACTAGCACTGACCGACGCAGGTGTTGTAGGAGTACATTCTCTCGGTATAGGAAAGTCACCATCAGAGGCGGGTCCATGGATGAATGATGTCTGGGAGAAGCAAAAGGTAGCACCCGAAATTTCTTCAAAACAGTTGCTTTGTCGTGTCCTAGCAATCGAGCAACGACATGGAGTATCTCCAATGAGCATAACTGCTAAAGTCGATGGTTATTGTTGTAGGACCAAGCGTGCTCGAAAGTTTCTGGTATCCAAATCGTAGGATTCGCATTGCTTTTCGAAACGAGAGATGAGACTCAGCATCGCTGGAGACATAGCCCACAATTTTGCTCATGATCTTGTTCACACGCTGTGATGTTGAGATAGATGGCTGACTCGACCGATTTTTTGACTGTGACGCGTGTGGCGAGAGTCGCGCGTTTCTGTCCCGCGCGACTTTCCAAATTAATTTGTTCTTGCGGCGACGTCAAACACAGAATGCGCATCGCATCCTTCTCGACATCACGGCCACCTCTTCTCCATCGCCCATACTCGAATCTATCTCCTTTTGTTCTTTCTCATATCTTTCATTCCACCCTCAAGTTTCGACACAATCTCATCCTCATTACCTCTGCCGTAAATTGTCCTCGTCGCTCGCTGCCAGTGCGCGGCCTTTTGACGAACCATGTAAGTCTTTTTCTGTGCGAATCCTCGCCGCTGTCTGACCATGAAATCACAGGGAGACCTTTGAAAACATCTATCTCGATCTTTCGAAACAGGCAGGGCGATGCAGATTTGCAGAGAGCGGTCTTGGATGGAAACCAAGCGGCGGCAGTGATCCCTTCACGTTGGATAGCGGTGAGGTCGCTTCGGCACAATGGAGCAGAGCCTCGAAAGGCTACGAAATCAAGATCATCACCAGAAATTCCGGAGTCATACAATTCGACGGTTTTGAACAAGAAGACTACGACCGCGCTGCAAAGGCATTCAAGATTTGGTACGGTCTGAATCTAGAGAACAAGGAACATGCTCTACGAGGTTGGAATTGGGGCAAGGCCGAATTTGGTAGAGCCGAACTGGCTTTCAATGTTCAAAACAGGCCTGCCTTCGAGATACCCTACTCGGAAATCTCTAATACGAATTTGGCGGGCAAGAATGAGATCGCAGTCGAGTTCAACCTAACATCAGATCCTTCTCAAGACGAAAGCAGGGGCCACCAAGTAGCCAGCACCAAGAACAGAGGGCACAAGGCTGCTGCGGCTCGAGATGAACTGGTTGAAATGAGGTTCTATATTCCTGGCACAGTCTCGAAGAAGGAGGTCAACGGTGATGAGGAAAATGGTGTTGACAACGAAGAGGAAGAGGAGCAAAATGCCGCGAACTTGTTTTATGAGACCTTGATGGATAAGGCAGAGATCGGAGATGTTGCCGGCGCGACATTTGCTACGTTCCAAGACATCTTGCACCTCACCCCGAGAGGACGATTCGACATCGACATGTACGAGAATTCATTCCGCCTGCGCGGCAAGACATACGACTACAAGATCCAGTATACAGCCATCAAGAAGTTCTTCATCCTGCCTAAAAACGACGAGACGCACACACTCATCACGCTTGGACTAGATCCACCACTACGACAAGGCCAGACACGGTATCCCTTCATCGTGATGCAGCTCAAGCTGGACGACGAGGTGAATCTAGACCTGAACATGACGGAGGAATTACTCGAGACCAAGTACAAAGATAAACTGGATGCACACTATGAAGCGCCGATTCACCATGTCATTGCAAAGGTCTTCAAGGGTCTTTCAAACAAGAAGATCATCATGCCCTCGAAAGATTTCGTTAGTCACCACAACATGAACGGGGTTAAATGCTCCATCAAGGCGAATGAAGGACTTCTTTTCTGCTTGGACAAGAGTTTCATGTTCGTCCCCAAACCCGCCACATACGTGCCGATAGACTCGATTCAGAGCATCACTATGTCCCGCGTAGGCGGAGCCTTGGCAGCGAGCAGGACATTCGACATTAGTATCACGCTCAAGAATGGGCAAGGCGAACATCAATTCAGCAACATCAACCGCGAAGAGCAGCAGCCATTTGAGGCATTCTTCCAGGTAAGGACTCGTCACGTGGAGTTTTCAGATCAATGCTAATTTGATTTACAGGCCAAGGGAATAAGATGCAAGAACGAGATGGTTGATGACACTTCGACCATGTTGAAACAGGCGCTTGAGGATCCGGACCTTGCTTCCTCCGACGATGAAGATGCCGTTGACCGCGGTTCAGCAGACGAAGATGACGATTCCCCCGACGAAGATTTTGAAGACGAGTCTGATAGTGATGTTGCTGAGGAGTATGATTCTGCTCACGAGAGTAGTGGTAGCGATGGTGGAAGCGATACGGAAATGCGCGATGCCCGTGCTGACGCCGACGCTGATGGAGATGCAGATATGGCCAGTGGTGACGAAGAGGAGCGGAGGCCCAAGAAGAAGGCGAAAAACTAAGTGTTGGCAGAACACTTCGGAATGTTTTATAGAAATAGAACACTCCGGAATACTTATGTACGTCCAGTAATGCGAAGAGATGAGCTGTCCGCTTTCACGCCCCAAGCGGTCTAGCTCGCCGAGAACAGCATTTGCATATTCCCATATATTCATGCGTTGCAGACTGAATTCTTCTTTTCTTTCTTCTTCTCTTTCTTTCATTCCGCATCCCACGTGTGTCCTTTCAGCCTCCCCCAGCCAGGGGGGGCTGAAGAGGGCATGCATTCAGGGCACAGGAGCTAGCCTCTGGTGGTTCTCGACGAGGATGGTGTCAGCATAAGTTATTTTCGAACATAACCTGCGTTACCCAAAAAGTGAGTTAACAATCAAGTCTTTCGACAACAATGAGATAGTGATTGATCTCCATGAGTCTGACATTGCTAATCAAAGGCAACAACAGAAGTCATGGACTACTTTGGGTTGTATATATATGGCCTTATTTGGTAAGTCTTCCGAGATCCCGCTTGGCGAAGACCTTTGTCCGGCTTTAAGCCTCATGAGGATTAGCGTTGATGTTAGTGTGTATTGCACGTGATTCTGAAAATTCGTCCGACAAGAATCCCGACACCCTCTTGGTTCTCCGTACTTTCTCCCTCCATCGGCACACTTTCCTCTTGCATTTGCGAACGCGCTGACCTTTGTTTCATTATGGCCAGACGAACACAGGCAACAAACAACAATAGGGCGACGGCATCGTCGGCACCTGTCCGTACGCGGACAGGTTGCTTGACCTGCCGTCGCCGAAAGTTGAAGTGTGACGAGGTGAGTCTCAATCCATTGTTTCCCAATCACGCGTGACTGACCAGTCTGTACAGGCGGCACCTGTCTGTGGACAGTGCCAAAAATCAGGAAGACCCTGTGAGAGGGGCGAGGGTGAGTCTCGGATCATGGTCAGATTTTGAGATCCCCTAGACTGATTGCTCCTAGGAGTCGCTTTCAGACACCAACAAAATGCCAGCATGGAGCGTGACGAGTCTCTCAAGAGTTTCTACAACAGAGACGGCAATGAAAGACGCTTCAGACAAGACACGTGCTTTTTGCCAATTCCACAGACTTGTAAGTTATCGCCATTGGATTTGACCGCTGCAGCGACTGACAATACTGCAGTGACCTGGGTATCAGTCGATCCCTCGTCTGAAGATGCACCTACACATTCTCCTCCACCAAACACAGCAGCCGCAGATCCCTACCAACAAGTTGCAGCGCATACGCTGGAAGCATTGTCGACAGCAGCGGCAGATCATGTATCCTACCCGCCTCAAGCAACGGCCTATTACACTGCCATGGCACCACACACAACTCCTCATCCGGAGTATGGCTTTGTCAGATTGGAACATGAAGAAGGACCATCCTCAAATCAGACAAACTACACAAACGGTCAGAATCAAAACGCCAATTTGATGATCGATCCGAACTTGGAGACTACAGTCGCAGGTCCTGCCGACCAGGCTTCTACTGTGGACGAGGCGCGTGGCCCAAATCAACCAAAACAAGAAGGTGAAGAGCATCTTGGCCAAGGTGATAGTGACGAGATTGGAGACTCTGAGTCAAGGGTGGCAATGGCACTTCAACACTTCAACGAGACATGATTGAATGACCGTCTCAGCAGACGCATGGCACGATAAGAAGACGCGCACTTGTACATTACGGCTGGCGATGAATTGTTTTTATGGATGATACCCCAAAATCAGGCGTCATGGGAGGCCTTGCTTCAGCTAGACATTCAGCAGCAGAATCACTTTAGAGTTCAGGGTATCGCATCTTGTGTGAACCCGACCATTTCCTTCTCTTTCCACTCGTAACATCGTTTGAGATGCCGAACACGTGGAAACCTGCTAGATCTACGATTTCGATGCGCATCAAAAGGTAGATAGCTGCTGACCTAGAGCAAGGCCAGTGTGAACTTAATCTTAACGGCTCATGTGTTATGTGGACTAGTTGTAGGGTTTCAATTTCACTTGTTGGCCATCAGACGCGTTCCGTCCGAGATCTGGAGATTTGACTCGGCCTTGCGATACGGAGTATGAATAACGTATTTGACGACTCAGCGGCCTTCTGCCGGTCAGCGCTTGTATCTAGGAAAACCGAGCTTGGAATTTCCCGCCCAACCTGCGCCTGAATTCGCTACGAAAGGCGAGGTCGTTGGAGTGGTTCCGGACATTGGTGGTGTTGTGTACAGTATTTTTATTGTAGCGCCCTAATTTCCAGTACAGCGGACCGTGACGGAAGCACGCGAGAGAACCAATGCGTAAAAGTGTTGCAGGGGGGTTGCACACAACCCATGCATGTCTCGCCGCAGAGTGCCGAAAGTCCAATGGCTATCAATGGCTAGTGAGGCTATCGTGCTAGTCGGTAGGGGAAGATGGCGCGGCGGGTTTTGGGTAGGCCACGCAAGCACCAACAAAGTAGTGTGCGTTTTACGATGATCGCCCGGAATGCTCGTACAATACAATACATGCGAAGTCCAGGATACTGAGAACGGTTCTCGGAGGCTGATGCTACCTGCCGAGTAATAAGCAGGGAACTAGTGGTGTCCTAGAAGTCGATATTGGCCAACAGTTCAACCACCTCGAATCCGCATAGGCATCGAAAAGAAGGAGGATTGGACGGGCAACACGTACATACCTGTACGAATACAATCAATATTGTCTTTGTCCTCGCATTTTCCGGCAGTCAGGCCAGCATCCATGGCCTTCCGCTCCGTTCAGCTGCGATGGCACGTTCACCAGCCAGATCTTAGCCGAGCCTATGACTTTAAGCCTAGCAAGACTGGGCGATAGACTATTCTCAAGACGGCAAGCAAGCGCCAGAGATGGTGTCTCGCTAGCTGCCAGGTTGGACCGGCCGGGTAAACAAGACGTCAGCGGTTGATTGATTGTGTCCAACAGACCCTCTTTTCTCACACCAATCCATGACGACGAGGGCCGAGTTCTGGATACCGTGAGCGGGAGGACGCAATATTGGACGGACTACGGAGTACAGGATTCGTACAGAACGAGACGAGAGCTGGGACAAGGCAGCGGAAACAGGCCATCCATTTCCTATTTCACTACGAGTGGCCGGAGATCACTGAATCATGGACATCACCACAATCACCTGAAGCTGCAGAATGATTTCCTTGTAGACGATACTTTACTCCGTACACAGCTTCCTCACTCTTCCAAACGCCGCTCGTTCCATTGCCTCCTCCAAGAAATCATATTACTCCAGTTCTTGATCTTGTCGACTTGGCCAAATCACGGCACATCCATCAAGCAGTAATTTTGTTTTTGTTCAAGACACTTGTTGTGCCCACAGCGCTGCGCCACTACCGTCCACCGGTCATTCGTGCCTCCCGCTCTTCTAATCAGTCTGGGAGCTCTCATGGCGACCTGAACCTTCCTCTCGAAAACACCGTCCTGTCCTGCGCTGCACGGTCCTGCCTTCTTGTTGTGATTTTTCTCTGGCTGCGCTCAGAGGCCGCAGGAGCCATACACAACAGACAACATGGGTCGGCTTCGGAATTTCTCCCAGAGCTTGAAAGCAGCTGCCCTCGGAAACCTTTCCAATGACTCGGTGCAGTCTTTCTCGAGATCCTCCTCCAACGGCCATACGCAGACACAGATAGTCGACAAAGATTCGCCTGTTCCGTCCCCAGAACTAAACTCGTCGCCCTTCGCAGACAACCCCCGAGCGAACCAACGAGGTGACCGGGGAACCTCTCGACCGACTTCTATGATATACTCACCACCGTCGATAGAATTGGCAAGAGACATGCACATTGAAGAGCTGATACCGGTTTTCAGGTATGCAGAACTATGAGGTATATGAATGATCTAGCGCTGACGAGGCCACCAGCTTCTTATCTAGTCACAACAACAAACTCTACCAAGAAGGTTCTGAAGCAAAAAGACCCTGACTAAAAGATGGGAGAGTGTACTGATTATTGTTGCAGGCTATTTTCTCAAACTGAATGATCTGGATACACGTATATACTCGACTGTACTTGTTTTTCCGACAATGCTAACGTGACCGCAGATGGCCGGCCATACTCCGATCGTAACTGGACAGAATGCTTTGCTCAGTTGGTGGGCACGGTTCTTTCACTTTGGGACGCTGCTGCATTGGATGCGGCTGGTCAAGATGGAGAGGTTGCTCCCACCTTCATCAATTTGGCGGACGCTTCGATAAAGATGGTACGTTCTCCGGTTCAGTCTGGCTTCGCATACTGATTGCACTAGATCGAGACTCTCCCTACTCGAAATCCTAACGTTGCTCCTCTTCAAAACGTCCTCTCCATCTCTACCGCAGGCAAAAATCGATACCTTCTACACTTCAACTCGTTGCATTCCTTGACACAATGGACAGCGGGAATTCGACTGGCCATGTTCGAACACTCGTCGCTACAGGAACTTTACACAGGTTCTCTGATCGCTGGCAAAGGAAAATATTTGAATAACATCCGGACCATCATGGAAAGAACGAGGTTCCGATCAGAAGACTGGGCACGTGTCAGGTTTGGAGCTGGCACTCCATGGAGACGATGCTGGTGTGTGATAGAGCCTCCGGATGAGAAGGAGTGGCAAAAGTCCAACAAGTCACTGAAAAAGAAGTCGGCATACGAGAGGCCATCCTTGCCGAAGGGACAGATCAAATTCTACGACACAAAGAAAACCAAAAAGGCTACACCGATAGCCACCATTACCGACGCATATTCTGCGTATGCCATTTATCCCCAAGCAAAGTCGCTGATTGAACAGTCAACTCTGGTCAAGGTCGAAGGACGAATCACGATTCATTCGCAGCCAGAATCGAAGACCGAAGGCTTTGTCTTTGTAATGCCAGAGCTCCATCCAGCGGTGTCTGGTTTCGAAATGTTGCTGCGCTGGCTCTTTCCTGTATACGACATTTTCCATCTTTACGGCCGCCCACAGCGATTGATAGCTGACACATGGGATACTCGGGGTTTGATGTTTGCCATGCCGAAAGAGCGAAGATATGGATACCTCGACATTATTGATGTCGCAGCATTGATTCATACCCAAGGCAGTGACAGATGGAGCGAACGGGAATGGCGCAAACAGTTGAAGGAATCCACTTCCCGTCGGATGGCCATGACTGCACAGAGTCGATCGAGCACGACGCTGGATGGAAGACCTGGAGGTAGAACTGTTTCAGAATCCAGACAAGGCGTACACTATGACGATGGCGCGTCGATACGGTCGACGCCTTCTCGGCATCAACATAACCAATCGACCGACATGGTCTTTGTCTCGCCGCAAAAAGTGTCTACTGCACCAGCCAACGGTCCGTATTTGACTCCTGGACAAAGTCATCACTCAAGATCTGTGTCCGAGTCGGTCACATACATGTCACCAACCAAAGCTCGCCGACAGAAGGAGAATCTCCCGCCGTCAAGGCTGTCCACTGAGCTATCTGATGCAGAGCCTATCCAGCCTGCGCCAGTGCCTCCAAATCACCGCAATGGCGCTTACAAGAGCAACGTGATGATTACAGAAGCCGCTTCTCCTGACAGTCAATACAGTTCAGACAGCGAGGGACAGGCGCCACAGACAAATCCAGAGGACGTTGAAGCCGATGTCGGACAGTCAATACCTCCAGCTCCTGTCGTGGCGCCTCCAAGCTTTCAACACCAGGCTGGCGATGTTCCTCAAAAGAGACCAGATACGAGGCCAGACCTGAGGCGAGAGAAAAGCCGCATGAGCAATGCCACATTGTCTCAGATTGCTGACGTGAACAAAGCTGCCAATGGTGGGGCGGCGGGGCGCACTGCAAATATGGCGTGGAACACCGGAAGACAGGCGGATGAGGATCAGGGGTATCCGTATCGAGGGGTAAATCCAACACCCCATGATGAAAGAGAAATGTCTGCTAATCAACTTCCCCCTCAAGCGATGGTAGCAGATGATGGTGCTTTTACTCAAAGCCCAGCTGATGTAAGACCAGAATATTCACAGTTCCCTTCTGACCATCCGAAACCCAAACAAAAGCCCATTGTCCGAAAACCGGTCCCGACATCAGCATCGACTCTTCGTCCTCCGCCCGTACGAGCGCCATCACCCGACGGTATGTCCAAATATTCAGTATCAAGCTACGAGAATGAAACTCCTGGCACTCCTGATTATGACAGTCCTTACGAAGACCCCAATCCTTCAGTCCTGCCGCCAAGAAGGACTGGTGTATTGAAGACCGTTGGCGATCCGACTCTTGGAAACTCCCGTTCTCAGATTACAGATCCTGTCAAGGCAGATATCCCGACTGTCGACTTCGGCACCACGTTCACTCCAATGTTGACGCCAGGACAGAATCGACCTGCAACAGCGAGTGGAATGCTTGATCAGCCATCGACGTCTCACCGCTCTCAAACAGCTCCTGTGACACCACAGAACATGTCACCTGATGATGAGAAGAGAGCTTCTTTGGACCGTAGTTTAAGTGGACGACCACAACATTCTCGATCACCAAGCTACGCATGGCATCCAGGGACGGCGGCAGGCCGACAAAGCCCCGGTGGCGGCTTGACCCCCGAAGAGTTTGTTCAATTGAGGGCTGCAGCTGCTCGAGTCCCGAACGGCTATATACCTCATCGTAGCGTATCATACAGCCAGATCGAACGATCTCCGAGTAAACTACAGAAAAGACGAGACGCCGCGGCGCGCCCAAGTTCAAGGAATTCGCTTCTCGTGGACTATTCGTCGCACTTGTCAGCCAGAGAACAAGAACATGTCGCTAGGATGACCGGTGGCCCTCTAGTTCAAATTGGAGAAAGGAGCAAGACGCCTGATCCGTCGATCGGTCTAATTGGTGCTATTGAAGCTCGCGAACAGGAAAGACGCAACATGAAACAAGGCGCTGCTGGTCATATGGTCAAGGAAGCTATTGCACAAAGACAAGCCGCTGAGCGAACCTACGGTTACCAACAATACCCAACATATGAGCATATTGTTGACCCACGGACAAGTGGTCAGTGGGGTTATCCAATATCACCAGGAACTCCCGGGTACTCCTCGTCATCATTGCCGACGCAGCAGCAATGGACAAGTCAGCAGATGTATCAACCTCAACCAGCACCTCAGTCGGAGTATCTGCAGCGCCGACCGAGTCAAATGAACAATTCGAGACTGAGCGGGTATTGTTCGACACCTAGTGGTTTTCATGATGGACAATAAACATGCATGCATTAATGATGTGAACTTACTTTTAACAACAACACTGCAAAGCGGTCGGTGGGAGGCATTTCTTCATACTGGAGTTTATGATATAGAGTCATGGCAACGATCATGGTGCATTAGCGTTGGCGCGAAGTGCTTGTACATATTGCTAAGTAAACAAGGTCGGCCGAGATTCATTACGAAAGACAATTGATATGAACACAGAGTTTAATGATTACCATTGGGAGAGGCGAATGTCTTGAGATCCCTCTTCGTTTTTCTCATGGACACTGAGCCATGCTGACATGCTCATCAACATCGAACCTGATATCTTCACATTCGTCCTTGTGTCACCATGTGTGTGTTTTTCCACGTCCCTTACTATTCCTATCTAGGACCAGTCTAAGGGGGACGAGACTGCTGTCCAGCCATTCGACTCACCTTTGGATCATGAAAGAACGCTCCAGTGTCGCACGATTTGACAGCCTTTGCCGTGGTTTGTGGAGTGTTTTTGCACTGACAGGACGAAACGACAAGAACACGGAGTTTGAAACCTTTGGCGGAGTAAAGAAAGTCGGCTCTTCTTCTCCTTGAATATCTGCAGCGTTCATCTCCTGAGCTGTCACACACCACACACCTCTCACCATCATCGAGGACTCTGTCGTGTTACAGTACGGTGGCTATTGGCCCCTTTCGCGCCCCCCCC